GACAGAAAACTCCTAGCAGTTTACGCATCTATAAAACATTTTCGTCATTTGCTTGAAGGGCGTCATTTTGTCATCCGCACTGACCATAAGCCGTTGACGTTCGCTTTTCAGCAGAAAGCCAATAAGGTATCTTCTCGTCAATTGCGCCATCTGAGTTACATTGCAGAATTCACGACCGAGATCGTGCATGTGTCAAGTGAAGACAACATAGTAGCAGATACACTCTCGCGGATCAACTCGATAGCCATGCCAGAAACTTGCAGCCTAGAGCGGATAAGCAAGCACCAGGAAGATGATGAAGAACTAAAGCAGTTGTTGTCCACAGGCACGAAATTACAACTGAAGAAATTGCAGTACCATTTATACCCAAATCTTTACGCAAAGAGGTATTCAACTTAGTGCATTCTTTGGCACATTCTGGTTCCAGATCCACTGCGTGACAACTCGCATCAAAATACGTGTGGCCATCAATGCGCAAAGATATAAACACTTGGGTTCGACAGTGTAAGGGTTGTCAGCAGTCCAAAATCAATAGGCACAACAGAATGAAGTCAAACGAATTTGTAAAAACCGATCAGCGATTCGAACATGTTCATTTGGATTTAATTACATTACCAGAATGTCAAGGTTATAGATACGCATTAACCATGATTGACAGGTTTAGTCGATGGCCAGAAGTGACACCCTTAAAAGACATGACCGCAGATACAGTAGTCGTAAATTTGTTGGTGCGCCGAAAGTAATAACAACAGACCAGGGAACACAATTCGAAGCAGATCTGTTCCGAGCTTTGACTGACCTGTTAGAAACCAAATGAACCGCACTACGCCTTATCATCCAGCAGCGAATGGCATGGTAGAGAGGTTCCACCGTACGCTAAATGCAGCACTAATGGCAAGACCGAAACATACATGACTCCAATTATTTCCATCAGTTCTTTTAGGGTTACGAGTATCAGTGAAGGAAGACTTAGGAGCATCTGCTGCAGAGATGATTTATGGTATCAACCTCCGTCTGCCTGGAGAATTCTTTGAACATAATACCCAATCAACTTCATCAACGCCTCCTAATCAATCAAATTTTCTAAACAAATTTCGTGAATATTTGCGTGAAGTGCGACCAACGCCAGCAGCACATCATAGCAACAGGCCAATTTTCATACATAAAGAACTCAACAATTGCTCACACGTTTTTCTGCGTTCAGATCACATCAGAAAACCACTAGAACCACCACATACAGAACCGTGTAAAGTATTGAACAAAATAAGTGAACGAATGTTCACAATTGAAGTAGGTGACAAAAAGTTGAATGTTTCAATCGAAAGATTGAAGCCAGCGTTCCTGGAAAATACAGATGTTCCAGCAGAACCGAAGTTCTTAGAAATCTTGGTAGACAATCCTAGGCCAAAGCATGACACACCACTAGTAAGAAGCACGAAGAAAAAAGTTACGTTCGCCGAAGACCCGCTTCAATTAAACAACAGTCCATTGCAGTCAGACGCCATAAACAAAAAGAAGGTCACACTCACACGTAGTCTTCATCACAATCCTTCGGCTATCTTCTAAACGGGGGAGTACTGTGGCGGATGTGGCAACCACAGATAATTATTAAGACACGGAAAGCACGATGGCAACGTTGTAACTTCACAAGCAAAAATTATATAAAAGCAGAACACAAGTAAGCATCAGTCTCTTTTGCATTCGAGCCGTCAGAGAACAAGGACACAAGGAGTTATAGTGGAACAAATAAACCACATATATACCATATATAAGTATATGAATATTTCATCAATACCTATTTTTCTATATTTTTCTATATTTCTATATTCTATATAAAACATAATAATAAAATAATAGAAGAAAATTACAATGTAATATATACATATAAGTATATAAATATTTCTACAATATCTTTGTTCTAGATTTGATATATAATAATAAAGAAATTACAATATCTTATTCCTTTATTTTTCCATATAATCTTTAACCAAACGTTTTTCTTTTTACATATTTTATAATTAAAGTAATAATACCCAAAATAAAATTGCAGTAATTGCACCAAAAAATTAATTGGATAAAGAGAGAGCGGAGTTTCAAGGCAAGATGTCTGTTACATCAGAGAAATAGTAATATTAAAAAATAAAATAAAACAAATTTTCTCTTTCAAGTTTAACATTAGTTTACGTAGCTTACCTCACAGCCGCAGAAATGACGTCACTCAAGCTGCTGTTGACCTAGTAAATATATAAACAAATATATATATATATATGTATTTAGGTATGATTAAGACCAAAAATTTATATGTTTCTATTTCGCTCTTTGAGTAAATTTTTTTCTTTTCCGATATGATATGTGCAAATTTAGCAATATATTTATTATTTTTTATTTCCTTGTATTTCTGTTTCTATTACTATACAATTTAAGAATGTATTCAACAAATTATACAAATCAGTTTCAAATCAAATTTTTTTAGTATCGAATAAAATTTTCTCTGCGTTCAAATAAAAAAACCAAAAAACACAGCAGATTAATTCCCTTTGTAATATGTGATTTAATGGAATGTATATAGTAAAATTACATAAAAAAAAATTTTTGAATTCAGACATTCCATTATTCTGTATAAGTTGAATCATTTGCAGCAGGAATACCTGGACACCGTTGTATCCTAACGGTGTGTAATGTTTTCTGTTTCAATTTCTTACAGTTGCTTTCGTTAATTAGACTGCTCCTTAGTGTGACTTTTCTACAGCCTCTGCAGCACCCCAAATATTACATTGGCATAAGTCGTTTGCAGTTAAGCAAATGTTTATTTTTCCGTTTTTATAAATACTTGCACTTATTAGGTCTATTCTGTCACACAGTTACAGAAAGTTCTTTTTTTTTAATTTATTTTTTATTTATTTATATAAATTTTCTTTTTGTTTTTTTTTTAAGTGACTTTTCACTGATGTATATGAGCTTATATGAGCAATTTTGTCTGTGGTACTTAAATAAAATTTTTTTTTTATAATTTACTAACTTCTGCTTCATTATTAATTTTTCTCTTTAGCAGTTTAGACTTTATTTACAAATTAACTTATTTAAAAAAAAAAGCTTTTAAAAATTTCTTGAAATTTTTTCGTTTTTACTTTCAGTGAATAACTGAATAAGCAATCACTTTTATATTAACTTTAAGTCACTTTTAAATTTTATTAACTTTTAGTCACTTTTTTTAAAATTATATTAGTTTTCAACGTCGAATATCACTCGACACGTACCACTTTCAGCCACAAGAAAAAAAAGAGTGAATAAAACTGTTTAAAATTACAAATATCAATCTGGCAACCACTGTGTGTGGGCTTCCTTTGCCTGTTAGCAAGTTGTTTCTTTCTTCTTGTGCGAGCAAGCGTCGTGTTCGGTCGAGTTTCTTGTCGTGCAGTTGATTTGTATTTTTGAATTAATGTATTAAGTAAATTTTAAAATAACATATATATATTGTGAATTAAAAATATTTAAAATAAAATTTTGATGTGAAGAAAGACAAACTATGGTCTTAAAATTAAAAACCGCATTATTCGAACATTTTTTGGCATCCCTTGCGGGGAGCAACATATCTTTTGCGTTCAATTGTGTGTTGCTGTCTACGATTATCGCGTGCTTCATCTAGCCTCTGGGCATATTTCTCAAGTTATAGCCACTGGGCGTATTTTCAAATTTATAGCGGAGAGCTGATCGATGCGTTAGCAAGCACTGATGTTATATACTCTCCAGGTAACAACGAAACTGTAATTAAAGGTGTGTCAAGCATGGAATTGACGTCTAATCTGCCACGTATTAAAATTCCGTCGTTTGATGGTAATTATCTGCACTGGAACGCATTTAAGGATTTATTCACGTCAGTTGTATCAAATAACGTTGTATTGTCTAATACACAGAAACTTCAATCCTTAAAAGATGCTTTAGTGTTGGACGCTCAACACGCCCTAGACAATATTACTACAACAGATTCACATTGGGCAGTAGCATGGAGTTTACTCGTCCACAAGTATGAGAACAAAAGGATCATTCTTAATGCGTATTTACAACAAATTATTAATGTAACAACGGTGTCTGATGATTCACCAAATGGTTTAATCTTGTTATGTGACACCATCACGTCAGCTGTGCGTGCGTTAGAACAATTGGGTCGTCCAGTACAGCATTGGGACGATTGGTTGGTCTTTACCCTTCTCCAAAAATAAGACACGAAAACACTTTCAGCTTGGGAGCTGTCAACAAACAGTTTAGAACAAATTCCAAAGTTTGAGGAGCTGGTCAATTTCCTAGAAAATCGAATAAATTCGCTGGAGGTAGTTAATAGCATGACCGATAACTCTAATCAGGAGAAAAGGTTTGTAACATCTATCAGAACAAAGGGGTTCGTGAAAAGCCATCATACCACTGTTCAACAATGCGTGTATTGCCAAGGTAAGCTGGCATATTGCGCAGAATATTGGCAAATGACTGGAACAAAGAGATATGAGGTAGTCAGAGCTGCAAGGTTGTGTTTCAATTGTTTGAAAACGGGACACATGGGTCATAATTGCCCATCGAAATATCGGTGTCTGCAATGTAATGCAGCACATCATACATTACTACATGATCATAGTGGAAGTAGTGGAGAAAAGAATTACTCAAATATACCGGAAAAGACCACTGAAGCGACTAAGAAATACACTGTCACATCAAATAACACATACATTTCCAGTGCTAATCAAGGTGCTCGAACTTTACATCTACAGACTGTTTTAATTGGCACTGCATTGACAGAGGTAAGGAGTCCTTCTGGCAAGAAGTTTATTGTGTGAGCTCTTTCGGATAGCGCGTCGGAAGCAACGTTTGTCAGCGAGTTCATCGTGCAGCGGTTAAAACTGGACAAAACAAATGTCATAGTGCCGGTGAGTGGTGCAAATGGTGAAAGGGTCGCCAATTCAAGAGGAATGGTTTCATTTACAATCCATTCGTTAAAATCCGATTTCAACATGAATTGTGTTGCACTAATAGTTCCACGAGTGGGTAGCGTTACCCCAACCATTCCCATACCGAAAGAAGCGCTTGGTGAGTTTATGAATTTATATTTAGCTGATCCTCAATTACAGGTTCCGGGAGCAGTCGATATAATTTTGAGCGCTTCAGATTATGCTGCTATTGTCTATGAGCGACTAAAACGGCATCCAATTAACAATATTGTTGCTCAATATACGCAACTCGGTTGGGTAATTTTTGGTGGACTGTCGCGACCGAAGGGTATTTCAGTGAAAGGACAAATAAATTGCTGTCATACTCGGACAACATTGCACGAAATGCTACATAAATTTTGGGAATTGGAAGAAATAACAAACCACACTCCGTTAACAAAAGATGAAATATACTGTGAAGACTTCTTTGAGAGTACAACTGTACGCAACGCAACGAGACGATATGTGGTTAGACTACCAATCAAGCAGAAAGTTGATTTGGCAACACTTAAGTCAAGTAAACTAAATGCACTTGCATTATTAAACAGTACGTTACAGCGATTAACCCGAGATCCAGAAATGTACAAACTCTACCAAGATTTCATGGACGAATATCAGACATGTGGCCATATGGAAGTGGTACCACACTCGTATGATGCAGCTTCAACATGTCATCTTCCTCACCATGGTGTCTATAAGGCATCGAGTTCTACAACGAAACTTCGCGTAGTCTTCAATGCTTCTAATAAATGTATGAGCGGAATATCTCTTAATGATTGTCTGCATATAGGTCCCAGATCACAAAATGATCTATCAAATATCATCTTGCAATGGCGACATTACCCTATAGTGTTTACAGGAGATACCGAGAAAATGTATAGGCAAATTCTTGGTGATACCAAAGATGTGGATTTGCAACGAATAATGTGGCGCGTTCTACACGTTGACGCCCCTACAACGTTCCGGTTGCTCACTGTAACATATGGGACTAATTGTGCTCCATATCTTGTCATCAAAGTATTGCGTACCCTGGCAAAAGAGGAGCAAACTCGTTTTCCTTGGGCAGCTGAATTGATTCTGAATGAATTTTACATTGATGACGTACTATCAGGTGGAGACACTCCAATCGAAGCTGCAGAAAAATTGCACGAACTTCAGGAGCTTCTAGCAACTGCAGGCTTCACTTTACGTAAATTTAATTCGAATTCAAATGAAGATTTAAGCACTCTGACTGAAGACGTAAAAGCTCACTCCGATGATGTGGGAATTAACACCGAGTAAAAAACTAAGACACTTGGTCTTACTTGGTATACAAAATCCGACAGCTTTGGTTACAACGTCAATGTAACTTGTGACAACCATCATTACACAAAACGACTAATGTTGTCTGACATATCAAAGTTATTTGATCCACTTGGGTTCTTGGCGCGGGTTATCATTCGAGGAAAGATGTTTTTGCAACAACTCTGGCGTACTGGATCAGATTGAGATAATCCCTTGTCAATAGAGATGGCAAACATTTGGCATAACTTTTGTATTGACTTAAAACAATTACATCACATTCGAATCCCACGTTGGATAAACACCACTTCGACAAGTGCAATTGAATTACACGCATTTGGTGATTCATCAAATCAAGCATATGCGGCTGCAGTATATGTGAAAACAACCATCGGTACGACCAGTTTTGTAAATTTGCTTATTAGTAAAACTAAGGTAGCCCCGTTGAAAGAAACGTCTATACAAGAATTATGTGCAGCATTGCCAGCAGCAAAACTTCTACACAAGGTTAAAGGAACATTTAAGTGTCAACCATCACGCTGTATTTTGTTTACTGATAATACAACCACACTGTGGTGAATTGGAACTGATCCAGGCAAATTAAAGCAGTTTATGGCAAACAGAGTCTCACAAATTCAGTCAATGACAAATATTGAAGTATATTGAAACAAAGGATAATCCGGCTGATTGTGCATCACGAGGCAGTACCGTTTTGCAGCTAAGAGATAATCTGATGTGGTGGTACGGACCATCTTGGCTTCGCTTAAATGAAAAAACGTGGCCTAACCACCAAATCAATCATACTCCTGACAGATTACCTGAGAAAAAAGACATTAACTCATTAACTACGCAGTTATCAACAGAAGTGTGGGAAATATTTGGACGATATGATACTCTTGACAAATTATTTTTAGTCGTGGCGCAATGCCTACGTTTTATTCATACGTGTCAAAAAAGGATGCGTCGAGATGAAAGTTTCTGCACTTGGCAAGAACGTTATACGGTTCTTAAAAAATTAGTAACAATTGTACAAAGGACCGAGTTTACCAACGATTATGCTGCTTTACGGAAAGGCAACCCAATTAACAAATCAAATAAATTGTTTAAATTGAACCCGAAGCTTGATTCCGACGGAATTATGCGTCTACATGGACGACTGCAAAATGCGAATATTCCTTCAGATAAACGATGTCCAATGATATTACCCAAACGTCATGATTTTACTACATTGATTATTAATCAAGCTCATAGTCGAACATTACATAGCGGAACTCAAACAACATTAGCATATCTGCGACGGCAATTTTGGATTATTGAAGGAAGATCCGCTGTGAAGAGAGTGATTTCAAATGCATTACATGTTTTCGTCAAGCCTGTCGACCGCAAGCACAAATTATGGGTAACTTACCTCCAGCACGGTGTAACATATCACAACCATTAATGCACACGGGCGTGGATTATGCTGGTCCATATAATGTGAGAGCAACAAGAGGGAGAGGCCATCGTATTTACAAGGGGTATGTGGCTCTATTTATATGTCTTATTACACGAGCTATTCATTTGGAACTTGTGAGTGACATGACATCTGAAACATTTCTAGCAGCGTTAAAGCGATTTGTATCAGCGATCGTGGTACATCCTTTGTCGGTGCTGATGCTTTACTGAAAGATGACATTAAATTATTTAAAAAACAAATTGAAGCTGGGTCTGTGTTTGCATCAACCGTTGGCATAAATTGGCACTTCATACCACCCGCAGCGCCTCATTTCGGTGGCCTATGGGAGGCAGGAGTAAAAAGCATGAAATTTCGTCTTAAGCGTGTAGTAAACACGGCAACTTTTGAAGAATTTACACGTTATTAAAACAAGTCAAAAATTGTTTAAATTCGCGGCCGCTTACGGCTCTATCTGACGACCCCACAGACTTATCAGCGTTGACACCAGGATACTTTTTGATTGGACGAGCGCCATCTGCCGTACCTGAATCTAATTTGCTAAATACAAAGATTGGTGTATTATTCCGATGGAAAATGTTAAGCCAGATGTATCAAGACTTTTGGCGCCGTTGGTCCCAAGAATATTTAACACAATTACATGTTAGAAACAAATGGAATAAAAGACAAAAAAAAAGACATCCAGGCACGGACGGTGCTGTTCGTGTTGTAACCATAAAGACACAGTCCGTCATTGTGAAACGGCCAATTACAAAGATCTCTGTTTTACCAATCGACATTGAAGGACGTCCTGAAGCAAGCGAGTAATATAGACGCAAGATCCGGTCGTGTCTCCACGTGTAGGTGGGAGAAATGTTTAAAATTACATATATCAATCTGGCAACCACTGTGTGTGGGCTGCTTTTGCCTGTTAGCAAGTTGATTTTTCTTCTTGTGCGAGCAAGCGTCGTGTTCGGTCGGGTTTCTTGTCGTGCAGTTGATTTGTATTTTTGAATTAATGTATTAAGTAAATTTTAAAATATCATATATGTGGCGACAGTCCAACCAATATGGCAACCCAGAAAATATCCAATTGTCATTCTTGAAGAAAAAAGACACCTGGCAATGCTAAAAAGATAAAAGCACATGTAAATAGTTGATGGTTAAGTTTCCTCGAGTAAAGTTGTATTGTTTTGTATATTAAAGAAAGTAGTTTTGTTTGATATTGTATTTTGAATAAAATAGACAAAAGATACGACTAAAGTGGTGACCCCGACGCGCAAAGTGAAAAACTTACAGAACTAATTTTTTTAAAAAAGAAAAAAGGGCAAAGTAACATTAGTATTAAAAACGCTAAACAACATTCACTAAAACTATTAACGGGCTTATCCAACACGCACATCGTCATCACAAGTTGCAGAACAAGAGTACTTGGAACAGCTAAGGTGGTGACTCCGTTGGAAAGTCAAGCAAAAACACTACAAAGCAGTGCATCTTATGCAAGAGTACACGAGCAAGCTGCGTTCCAGACAGGCACACGACAACATGGCTGTAAACGCAGAACAAACTGCAAATCCACAAGTAGACTCCACTGAAATTAACATGAGACACAATGTGAGAGTCCCAAACTTCAATAAAACCAACCCATCAGTATAGTTTGCGCAACTGGAACGAGTCTTTCGTTTAAATAATATTCGAGAAGACACAGACAAATTCGATTGGGTGGCAGAATATTTAGATGAAGACATTGTGATGGTTGCTGAAGATCTAATTACAAATCCCCCAACGAACAATAAATATGAAACACTCAAGGCACGTTTGTTAAAGCTATGAAGCCGTCGGAAATACTTTCGAACATGAGATGCTTGCACCGGATCCAAATAGCGAACAAATCATTCGTACGCTTTTTCTCGCGAAATGCCCAAATCGATTCGTCCGGTATTGGCAATTTGAGAAGAGGATGATCTAAATAAACTTGCCAAGTTAGCTGATAAGATGCTGGAGGCGTCAACAACAAACGCAATGTACATGAGTGAAGTATCGCCACAGGCTAAGCAGGCCACGTACACTGTGTGCAGCACAACACATAATGATTTGTACACAGCTGTTCAACAACTGACCGACCAAGTTAAAAAGCTGCAAGTTGAAGTTAGCCAACTCAGGAAACCAATCACAAGTCGCAACGGTTCTCGATCGCGCTCATCCAAAACTGTAAGCGATGTCAACGGTCAACAGCGACGTCATGGCAAGTTGTGTTACTATCACACCAAGTTCGGGGACGGTGCCACCAAGTGCAAGCCAAGCTGCTCACGATGGCCACCTTTAAACTAAAAAAGCTGTCGTCAAACACACTGGTTGACGGCAGTAGCAAACAACTTGACCACATAACCAGTGATTCATCAGTAGCAGAAATAAAACCACTCATAAATAGTGAACGTCTTTTTGTCGACGATCGCAAATCATGTTTTCGTTTTTTGGTTGACTCGGGCTAAGTTGTATCAGTAGTGCCACGGCATTTGGTGAAATTTAAAACAACATAAGGAGAGCTCCAACTATACGCAGCGAACCGAGCTCTCATTACCACATTTGTCAACAACACAATGGAATTAGACCTAGGTTTACGGAGATCATTTAGGTGGCAATTTATCATCGCTGATGTCGAAGTTGCTATTATTGGTGCTGATTTCTTAAACCATTTTCATTTGTTAGTTGATCTACATAAGAAGCAAACAACTTATAGACATGACGACGAAGCTTAACACACGGGGTGATCTTTCAGCTTCTCCGCCATCAATCATATCTACAATAGATGAGACAGCCAAGTTCAGCAATCTGCTCAAAGAATTCGTTGATAATACACGACCAGTGTTGAAACAGTCACTTCACGACACTCAAAAGCATGGGGTGACTCATCAAATTGAGACAAGAGGCAACATTGTATTTGATCGTCCCAGAAGATTATCTGGACAGAAACTTGCTGTGACAAAAGCAGAAATCACTCTATTACTGGACCAAGGTATTTGCCGTTTGTCAAAAAGTCCATGGGCAAGTCCCCTACACATGGTGGCGAAAAATAATGGTGGCTGGCGTGCTTGTGGCAACTATCGAAAATTGAACGCAATAACGATACCGGACAGGTATCCTATCGCTCATGTGCATGATTTTGCGGAGAAGTTGCACAACAAAACGCTGTTTTCAGCACTCGACTTGGTGAAAGCATATTACCAAATCCCAATGGCAGAGGACGACATTCAAAAAACTGCTGTGAGCACACCTTTTGGACTGATTGAGTTCCAGTACATGCCGTTCGGATTGAAAAACGCGACACAGACATTCCAACGTTTCATGGACCAAATTTTTCGAGGCCTTGATTTCGTGTATTGCTATATTGCCAACATTCTCATAGCTTCAACGTCCATAGAGGAACATGAACGTCATCTCCGAACAGTGTTTACCGTTTCGCGCCAACATAGACTCAGGATAAATGTCAATAAATGTCAATTTGGTAAATCGGAAATTCTCTTTCTGGGCTACACGGTCAGCAAGAATGGCATTAAACCACCACAGGACCGCATTGAAGCAATAGTGAATTACAAACAACCTGACACAGTCAGTGACCTAGCACGGTTTCTAGGTGTTCTGAATTACTACCGGCGTTCTATACCACACTTATCGCAACATCAAGCACAGCTTAGTGATCTGGTACGAAACATCAAAAAGAATGACAAACGAAAAATCTCTTGGACTCCCGAAAGTCTCGATGCGTTCAATAACTGTAAACACAGCGTTGCGAATGCTGCACTAATTGCACATCCAGCACCTGATGCTGGGCTGGCACTTATCTGTGATGCATCTGACGTTGCTATTGGCGCGGCCGTAGAACAATATGACCAGGGCACTTGGGTACCACTCGGATTTTTTTCGAGAAAACTCTCAGCAACTGAAAAAAATTACAGCGCATATAATAGAGAATTAGAGTTAATTCCAAAGACCACTGATCAAACGTATAACAGGAACTTTTTATTTTACCAATTACAAAAAAAGAGGATAAAAGCGACAGTCTGGGGAACAAGAGTTCTTTTTGGTTTTAGTTTGGTTTGATAACAACGTCGTGCGTCGCCCATGAGTTGTGCAGTTTTAAATTAAAAATTAAATTTAATAAAGAAACGGAAAATTAATATTAAAGGCAGCGAGTTATAAAAGCAGTGAACCTGCAGTGTGAAAGTTGTAACGAATCTTTCTCGCCAAGGTTTATGCTCGCCAGATTCCAGGTCCAGTCCTACAATAAATTTATTTGTGCGGAACAGTGGAAAGTTTGGATACGAGGTGAGCGGCGGCTTCGCTACAGCAATATAGTTTTCCGCTGCTGTGATAGTACTGGATTCTTGGTAAAAATGAGACTTTCTTCTACGCCTGGTATGGTTACTAACAAAATGTTGATTCGTTAGCCGTGGATTTGGTATGAGTGATAATATCTCTGTGTACTTATCACCTTTCCACTTGATGTATATAAATGAGCAATTGACTTGTGTTGTCTATTACTTAATAACAGACATGGGAATAGCAATGTAAATTCCTATTTCTGATGCTTCAGCATGTATGTTTGGAGCGATCTGTTTTCCAGCTCGTTACCTTACTGACTACTGAAGTAATGTGGCTTTGTTCGCAGTATAATTGATCTTGGGTTAGAAATGTGAGTTTCTAACGCATTTGAAACTTGCTATGTTCAAGAAATGTGAATTTCTTCCCTGTGAAATGGATTAGATGTAGAAATGTTAATTTCTAACGTACCCGACAATGTATTGAAGAAATGTATATTTCTTCCCCTGAAATGGATTTGGCGAAGAAATTATAATTTCTAACGCACTCGACAATATATTGAAAAAATGTATATTTCTATTACTACTAACGAAATGTTGATTTCGTTCTGATTAATAATGTAATAAAAATGTGTATTTCTATTATATATAAAAAAAACAATGGTAACCGAAATGTAAATTTCGATTCTTGATGTTTAAGCACGTATGTTCGGAACGATCTGTTCTCTAGCTCGATGCCTTGCTGAATGTTTTCATTGCGCTTTTGCTTCGGCTTTTATATCCACGAAATGCGAAGCACGCAGTTGTTTTATTCTTCTAACTACAACGGTGTGTTGTTTATAATTTTGTATTATATTTGGTGGTGGGTTTTAATACTTGTTCTATTAATTTTGTTATTGTTTTATTCTTATTTTTATGTTGTGACGTGAAATTTACAATTTACAATTTACAATTTTATGTAACAAAGTTAAAGTGTAAATCTATATAAAATATAATTATATTTTATTCACAAGAAGTCGCATATGAAAATAAACGAGAAAATAAAATTAAGATAATCGAATTAAAATTAAAGACAGCAGATAAAATAACTAAAAAAAATGAATAATTCCGTAAGGTGAAATCTTAAGAAATTAAGTATAGCCCAAAATAGAAAGCTATTATATTTTTAGAAAGGAAAGACGAAATATAGCTAGAACGACTTAAATATCTGTACCACATGCCAGCTATTAAAACTATAACCAAGCAAACAGTGACAATATAATAATTGCAATAACAATATAATCAACTTGCATATTTTACACAACTTCGGTTTTCTCCCTAGAGTTAAAACCTGCATACCGTATACTTAATTCAAATTACACCCGTTTACCGATACCGTTGTCTACAAAAGTTACTCAACACGGTGCGACGTATTTTATTCTTGGTTTTACAGTAATGTTCAAACCACAGTCTTTCGCAATGAGCTCCTACATTTTTAGATTTCCTACCGTAGCAGCACTTGTCCTATCGACAAGCACTACAGCAATATCTTTTAGATCTGCCTTGATTACAGCAGCGACACCTTATTTGCCCTGTATCACATTCCTACGAGAGCGGTTCCAGGCTTTTGTTTGACTAGAAATAACAAATTTTATTTGTATCATATTGATAATGTCTATAAATAACTTGTGTTAGTTTTTTTCCATAATAACTAAAATAAAATACCAGAGATATCAGTTTTATAATAACAGAGAAGAGATATATAAAAAAAAATTATAAATCAAAATATGGTAAATGCACAGCTATTGTCTGTTTTAGTTTTGTGTTATGTGTATTCTTTCTTTTATGAATGTAGCTAGGTACAGCAGTGAAGGGTGATTTCATCTTAGCAGCTGTGGTAAGTACCTATTCTAGTTTATTTATTAAATAATAAAACCAGAAAGTAGAGGTGCACGTCGAGGTATATCGCTTTTTCCCTTCCGAGCACTGTTCTAATTTGATTTTAAAAAATAATATTTTAATAAATAATATTGATTTTAATAATTTATTGAAGTGATTTTTTTATATTATTTATATATCTTGTTGTACTTTAACTTTATCATTCAATTATAATAAAATCAATGAATTTATTTTTTTTATTATTTGTATATCTAGTTGTAGTTTAAATTTACCATACAATTAAAATAAATTAATGAACTGAAGTTTTTTTTATTTGTTTCAAAAAAAAGATTTTTTTTTGTATTGAACCCTGGAATACCCTGAGTAAACCCCAGCCTTGGAAAGGGACGGAGAAGGTCATTACAAAGTTACTTTACATGCAAATGACTTAATACCATAGTTAAAATAAATATGTTGGCAAATTTTTGACATAATCGTAGTAAGAATAATAGCAGAATGCATTCCAATTACAATATTTTATTAAAACTTGTTCAAAAATTAAATTAATATTGGTAACTTAAGACCTTATATTATTCTGTATCCAATCAATATATGAGCCAACTTTAGTATAAACTCCAGGCCAGTTTTCTAAACCGCACGGACTCGGGCCATACGACACAATACCTGCCACAAAAAAGCCACGTCTTTTGTTGATGTATTCTTCAACCATTAGTGGTCCACCGGAGTCACCACGGCAGGAATCAATCCCTCTTTTTCCTCCCGCACATAACTGGGTATTTTGCAAATATTTTTTTGCAATTTTATATTTTTGTTGGCACTGTTGCAACGGCCAAATCGTGACTTCAGCTTTAAGCTTGAACGTACTTGGTTGATTTGTTTCTGTCACTCCCCAACCAGCAATATCCATGACTCTATCATCATAGTTTTTGTTGCGAAATTGAGAATCAATTGGTAAACAAATAGGTTGTATGAAGGTATTATATTCAATGTAACGGTCAAGACGGATTAATGCAATATCATTTTGTTGGCTTGATGAATATTCAGGATGAGTAATTACTTCTTCCACACCGCAGTCAACGTGCTCGTTAGCACAGTCCTTTTTTCCCTGTACATCATAAACGCAATCAGTATTTGTCGAAGTATCCCATTCTCCAAGGCGAACACCAGTTACACGCCAACTCTTCGGAATTGCAGATATGCAATGTGCTGCGGTAAGTACATAACGATTATTAATAAGGGCACCTCCACAATGATGGCCTTTTTCATTTCGTGCTGCAAAATTATTGAAAGATATATAAGCATCGTTAGATAAAATGTAAGTGTAATCCGAATCAAAGAAACAATTCTGTTTTTTAATAAAGTTTGTGGTAGTAAAACTTTCAATAGAAATAATCAAAATAAACTAATATGAATTAAAATTAAATGGAATTAATAATCTGCAATATACCTAAAAATCATATCACAATTAGTTTAGATAATGTTTAAATAAACAATTAGATGTTGAGGTTACAATTACTTTTGTTTATTTTACTTACATATTTGTCAAGATTTTGATTTCATTTCACCAAATCAGATTTTGTGTCTGAAAATGGATTAAATACAGAAAATTTTGCAAATATAGTATTGGAGAACATTGATATTTTAACAAATATAGGATTGACAGTTAAAACATTCATTTGTGATCAAGGGTCTTTGAACAAACAGGAAATGTTTTTCCTTACTAGAGATCAGCAAAAATAAATCTTTTATAGTTCACAATGAGAGAAAAATATATTTTATGTTTGATTTCCATTTTTTGATGAAATCTTAGGGTAATCGAAAACGATTTGCAAACGCTAGACGAAACTGTTAGTTTTAAAGTAATAAGTGAAATATATGATAAGGAAAAACATATGACAAAAATGTGTCCGAAGCATATATGTATATCCGTCCTCGTTTGAAAAGATGCGGATCAGAAACGCAGCACAAGTTTTTAGTCATACTGTAAAAGCCGCAATTAGAGCGTATACTGAAAGCGTGGGATTCAAAAAAGTTTCAAGCGAAGTTGCTGCCAATTATACCGCCAATTTTATTGCTAAATTAGACAAAATTTTTAATTGCATGAATAGTGAAATACTTAATGGGAATAATTCTCATCGATCAGCTGTACTGATGTGTAGTATGTCTTATAGTTATTTGAAGGCATTCATAGGTATAAAATAATTAAAAATTACAATAAATAACCTTGTCCAATAAAGTTTTACAAAAAGATAAATCTAAACCGTAAATCAAGATCGAATAGAAAACTTTTTTCAATTATTTAGGCAAAAGGACAGAAATAATAGAAATCCTTCAGTTGCTGAAATAAATCGAAATTTGGCACATTTGATGTTCGCTCAAAATCGTCCCTTATCCTCATCAAGTAACTGCGAAATAAATTGCTTAAAGGAAGGCAATGGGAATATAGTGCATTCCCACGTTGAAGTAATGGAAATAAAATTTATTTAAGAAATGAAATCGGATTATTTGGTAATCCTTGATAAGTTTTTTAATGATCATGGTTAAACTGCTAGATGGAAAAAATTTTAAATAAGTTTCTATACTTAAAATTTTAAAAATTAACTCAATATAATCAGAAAACAATTTCATTTCTTACTCTGCGTCTACACGGACAACACTTCAGCAAGATTTTTGAACACTTACACTTATTCACTAAGGGCCATGTTATGTAGAGCATCGGGCACGGCAAAATTAGGCTAGAGCCAAGTTAGCAACGTTGCTAGAAAATGAAAAGCTGTATTTTCAAAAAATTCTTAAAAAATGATCTTTTCGTTAATATAATTAAACTAAAACAAAAACCATTTTTCCTATAGAGTTTTGTTAGATCTTTCGATTGGTATTTACCAATTTCAAATACGATGCGTATTTTTTCAGATTATAGCGAAAATAAAAATTGACTAAAATCGACTTTTTTTGAAAAAATCTATTTTTAGAAAAATCTAGAAAAGGTACAATATTGCACGCAAATACATCTAATAGAGAATTAATCAAGCTATCAATAGCAAAAAAAAACATAAAAATCTAGTAGACCAATTTTGAGAAATTTGATGTCAAAGTTAAATTTCTATACTCGTCATAGCTTCAAGCTTTTTAAAAAATGTAAAACGAAAAAGTATAAAAAAAATGATAATGAAACCGAGTACATAAGATTCATTTCAATATCTTAACTAAAATATATATATTATTGAAATAAGTGCACATTTTGCACATGTTCCGATCTAACTGCATTTTATTTACATTTCGAAGGAGGTACAACCTGCATGCTCAAAGTTCCTAAAACTAGATTGATCACTCTTTCAAACGAAACTAATTTTACAAAAATCGAGCAGCACATTTTTTAATTATATATATTTAAAAAAGTGTTTTTTTTACGAAAAAAAATGTATGTTAACTAACACCATTCTAATAACATATTAAGGTGAAAAGCTGTACAATGCTAAAAACTCACCACCACTGTAAAGTTTAATAAAGAACTCTCTTAAAGGTATTTATTGGCAATTATATTCTGTGTTAAGGGGATAATAATAATATTAAATTAATTATAAATTTTACGAAAGGGTACAATGTTGCACGGTATTTTTTTGAAAAATATACATATTCTAGAATATTTTGGTATATAAATCATTAAAAATGAGTAGACAGATTTTCTAAAATTATCAAATATTTATTGCATAAATCCAATCCAGCGCAAACGTAAAGTCAAAATATCCACTGTTCATAAATTATTATAGATGGGTCTACTGTAAAGACCCATGCAAAGTATATGACAAAGTATATGAAAGTAATAACTGTTGCATTTCATTTTTTCTGACTTATTTATTTAGGTCGAGTGCGAGTTGGTCTAATTTGCGTTCTAATTTAGGGAAATTCCAAATTCTACCGATAATGTAGTGAAATGTTGGTATTTGGAATATTTTCAACGTAACTAAATTGAGCCAAAATAGAAAAATCACCAGAGTTGTCACTTTAATATTTTCATAAGATGTTTAATAAATAAAAAAGTGAAAATAAGGACCAGTTTTACAATGTACACTTAGAGAACACTTAAGTTAAATATAGTTTAAGTTTATTTCAGTCCTTAAGTGTTTACGGTTTTTACAATACAAAGATTTAATGAAAGTTTGTAATTATGTAAAATATGGCAATACTGGAAAAAACAAATAAAGTGTCACATGAAGTTCTTTATATACTTCAGCGGTTCGAAAACCTTTCTATTGTTAAATTTTCAAAAACAGTGGATAACGGGGCTCCTTCTTTGTAAAAAGCACCAGAAAGACGCTTTACATATAGTAAGTAAAAAATATGCATAACAAATGTCTCTGCAAAAACAACGTTGAACTTGCGTTTCCAAATAAAGCTGTAGTTTATAAGCTCTTTCTAATTTAAATCACGGTAAGTGCTTTGGTGAATGTCACTAATTAAATAAAAAAGTGACAAAAAACTTGGAACTAGAGCACCTAAAGCTTGTACAGCCTTGGCTACTTGTGGATAAATACGATCAGTCATCGCTTCTAATTTGACAGGCACAAGTTCTAATCCTGGTACGTGCAGTCCAAACAAATTATATACTTATACTGTTTAGTAACGACTGTCTTTATTATATTATAATGTGCAATACAATAATGTAAAATATAGAATATGTATAAGAGTTTTTCTTATAAGAGTTACATGAAGAGTACTTATTTTAAACATCACAACATCTTTCTTTTTTTTTTTTTATATTAATATTAAATCTATAATTCATATTTTAGTCTATTTTAATATTATTTTAATAATATAAGAATAAGTATAAGTATACACAATATATACAATATAATAATATAATATTAAACCTATGATTCATATTTTAGTATATTTTAATAATATAATAATAAGTATATACAATATAATAATGCAATAGCAAATTTTTTATATTCATATATTAATCTTCATATTATTCATATTTTAGTCTATTAGGTGCTACCACATTTCTTCCCCTTTGAGTAACATATTGATTTGCACTTTTTTCATTATTTAAATTTAAATCTATAACAGGACTTTGATTTGGATTTACAGTCTCTCGTTCTTCATCTATTTTGTCTAAAACACTTTGTCTTTTCATTAAATGTTCTCTATTTCTTCGATAAATCACTCCATCATTGTCTTCTACCAAAAATGACCTTGGTTCTTTACATTTTTCTACAACTGTTGCAGGATACCAAACTGAAAGTGGTGTACGCTTGAACATGACATCTTCACCTGGAAAAATTGGTTGTAATTTGACGGCTTTTTTGTTAAAATTTTCAGACATTTTTTTTTTATTTTGTTCAACTTGAATCTTGTACTTTTCATTATTCACAATTTTTGGTTCTAAATTTGTATCTATAGTTGGTAATTTTGTTCTTAACTGACGTGACATCAATAATTGACTAGGACTAGGTAAATTACCTTTAGGAGTTGTTCTGTAATGCAATAACGCTGTGTAATAATCTGAATTTGTTTCTTTACATTTTATCAATAATTTTTTTACAATTTGAACGGAACGCTCTGCCATGCCGTTAGATCGCGGAAAATGAGGGCTCGATGTTATGTGTTCAATAGACCAATCATTACAAAACTGATTAAATTCTTTTGAATTATAAGGAGGGCCATTGTCTGAAACAAAAATTTTAGGAATGCCGTGTCTGGCATAAATAGATTTTAATTTTGTAATGACATGCTTGCTAGAGTAACCCATGTTTAAAATATCAATTTCAATGTACTTTGAATAATAATCAACAACCAAAAGGTATTGTTTCTTTTCAAATTCAAAAATATCGCAAGCCACTTTATACCAAGGCAACTCTATAATATCATGAGGCAGTAGCTCTTGTTTGCCATTGCAATTTTTGTATTTAGCACAAATTTCACAACTAGAAACTAAATTAAATATATCGTGATTAATATTTGGCCAATAAACAGAACTTTTAGCTAAATTCTGACAACGCTGAATTCCCATGTGTCCTTCATGTAGACTATTTAATGTTTTGTGACGAAGTTGATGTGGTATAATTATACGATTATTTTTTAATAAAAGTTGATTGATAAAAGACAAATCATCTTTGATGTTATAATATGGCATAGCCAGTGTATCAACTAATTTTTTATTGGAAGGCCAACCATTTCTGATATACGAAATCACTTTTTGCAGTGATTCATCGTTAATTAAGTTTTCCCTGATTTCACTAAGAAGACTATCAGATAAATTTATACTT